CTTTCCCCACAAAAGAGGTCCTAGAGCCCCTTGGGTTCATAGACTGTGTTGCTTCCTGGGGCAAATGAAACTGGGACAATATAGGCTGAGAGCAAGGACATGGAACAACCAGGTTCTGGTCTGGGAGGGCGGGGGGCACAAACTGGATACCAAGTATTAATTTGAAGACAAGATAAAATTTAAGGGGGATAATAAGGCAGTATGCTACATCAGCCTTTGATAAGGAACATTTTAAAAATAGACTAAAATATAAAGTAGTAAATAGGACGTTTGGGATGAAAATGGGTCCATCTCAGAGAGAGTCATAAAACATATTAATAGCATTTTATGTCATAGAGGGAAGAGAATTGGTACTCAGGAAGTGCTTAAGCATTCATTCAAAAATAAGACAACAGTTTGTGTTTTTATTAAACAAAATTGGGACATATTACCATGTAATTAAAAAAAAGGTCATTATTTCTAGGCACTGAGGTTAGGTAAAACTTGTCCACAAAAGACAGATATTCAATGTGCTGGTCATATAAACAGCAGAATGTGCTCTTATCAGAAAAACTGAGAAAGAGAAACTCAGTGGTACGACAGAAGGAAAGACTGGCAGACGGAGAAGTAGTGGCTGAAAAGTAAGCCAGATCTAAAGTGAAATCAGCAGGAATGCCCCCCCTCCCCCATCCAATAGAGGACCCCGCCCTGCAGACTGGTGTGGAAAACAGGACGATTGTGCTGTCACTTGTTTATGCTGGCTGGAAAGAACAAGCCAGCAAAGAGTAAATCAAGGTAGGGCGGATGTGTCAAGCAGGAAACTTTTCCATTTACAAATTGTTCAGGGAGAAAGTAAATTTAAAAAATAATAATAATAAAATAAGCATTTGAAAGATACTTCCTGGGTCGAAAAATCTACTGTTAAATGGATTGGATTATAGTGCTTTAGCTATTAATACAATTGACAAAACAAATAAAAGTCTGCTACATTGTAAATTAGAGAAAATGTTTTTCTTTTGATAACAATAAAAAGCAAAATAAATTTAAGTCACTAAAGAGGTGAACATTTTAGATAATTTTCAAAGTAGGCGATGCTTTCTGTGAAAAAGCAACATTGAAAAAATGTATTAACAAACAAACAAAAAGGACTTGTTTGAGCTGCTGTTCCATCCGCCAGAATGGGACCACGTCGTGAGGAACCAGTGCAATCAGGGGTCTGTCCCAGAGCACCCTCTGTCTCCTGCCACCCCAGTGACTGTGCGTGAAGAACCTGATGCTGTCAGGTTTACAGAAGAATTATCAGATGGGTTCAGGCACCGAGGAATGTGCGATCTACTAACATGCACAATCTAAAGAACTAGGGCATTACTATCTCACCCAAAGGCAAAAATGGGGGCTGGGAAAGTGTGGGAAGAGACTACATGGGCTCAGGCATAAAAACATTTGCAGTCAAGACTTAGGTAGGTGGAACCAGGTGAGACAAGAATGACCAAAGTGAATTACAGTCCAGAGCAAGTCAGTAAGAGAGGGTGAGGGGAAGACGGTCACAAATAAACACTTAGAAGAGCACTTCTTTTTGTAGACAGTAAAATTACTGACGTCCAATGTATAGACCGCTCTTACTTGTCCTTTAATGTCATGCAAATCCACCCTCACTTTGAATCTACTGAATCAATTTTGACTAAGAACAAATTATTCACCACAATCCCTGTCACTTACCGGTATGTGCAGGGTTAACATCATCGAAAGGCTCTGAGCCTTTTCTTGCACTAATCCACCACCATTGCTACTGAGTGTGTTCTATAGGGAGGTAGAACTGCTCCGTGGGGTTTCTGAGCCTATAATCTTTATAGACCGTCTCATCTGCTGGTGAGTTCACACTGCCTACCTCTCAGTTGGCAGTCCATCGCTGAAACCCACGGCTCCCAGGGCTCCTCCCTGCACTAAACCAAACACCACACATCGGTAGAATCTTGCTCAAAGTGACTTGACAGAAGGTTTCCAACACTGTACATCTTTATGGGAGCAGACAGTCTTTCTTCTGAGAAGTAGATGAGCAGCCCTAACCCACAGCATCTCCTTTCTTGCACGAAAGCTTGCTGCTCACAAGTCGATTCGAACTCACAGCTACCCAAAAGGACAGAGCAGAAATGATTGTGGGGTTTCCGAGAGGAACACCTTCCCTGCGGCAGGCCACCTCATCTTTACTCACGCGCTGTCCTGGAAGCATGTCTGCCGCATGGCCACCATCTGAGACAGGGTAGAACTGCCCCTGAGGGTTTCTAAGACTAACTCTTTTATGGGAGTAGAAAGATCAGTCTTTCTCCCGGGGAGCATCTGGTGGTTTTGAACAGCTAAGCAACAAGTGGGTTTACATCACGAACCCTGCTGTGAGCCAGCCCAACGCTTAACCTGCGATGTCACCAGGGAGCTTTTCTAACCCTTAGGTAAAGCTAAATAAGAAATGTTTACACCGGTTCCAGGTGATCTACAAGTTTGGCTTTTAGACACACAATGGAAGTGATCTTATTTCTAATGTAGGGATTGCCCGTATAATATCCACACTAATTCACAGACTTCAACTAACACTTCTTCAAAGCACATAAAAGTGAAAAAGCTTATTGTTTGATTAAAAAGTTTGGCATAATTCTATTTAGAAACCTTATTTATCTTGGAAAAAGTGACATTTTCTTCCAAAGCACTGTTAGTTGATCATTTCACAGGTCCGGTTTATTACCAATGTGAAATTGTACTTAGTAACCTCAAGGCAGGTGTCTGTGGAGGGCGCAGCTGCGGGGAGGTGGGAAGCCCAGCAGGGGCAGCATTCTGTCCACACCCTGTGGCTCTGCGCTGGTTTCCATCACTTCTGTACACGGTGGTCAGGCTCCATAATCTCTGATAAAGAGTTTGTGCTGACAAGACATCTATTCAGTAGATACCATGCTTAACTGAATCATTTTCAAAGACCAAGAAACTCTGTTTGACGTCTACTTAAACAACTGTAATCATACGGTTGTTAAAAATGACATTATGAGATGGTAATAGTAGTGATGTGGGGCAGAGGTATCTAATCTTACTGAATGACTGATTGTTCAGTCATTTAAGTGCCAGGGCTTCCATACCTGCCCCATAAAGGCAGGGCTTTGGAGAAGATCACTACCCTCTTCTAAGACATGCAACATAGCTTGTAGAAACACATGTACTTACTTACGCCCTTTCCCTCACCAAGCTTTTCTGATAAACACGTCTTTTTCCCTCATTTTGTTTCCTCTGCTTCAAAAGCCCTTATTAGATTTTGAATAACTGTATCATCTTCTCCAATACTCAAACAGTGACACGGGGTGGGGGTGTGTATTTCCTGTCCACCCTTCCATAATACCTTGCCCATGTCTCAACCAAGGTTCTGCATACCTAGGTTGTGATGGCAGGTAAGTGTGCAAGGACAGGAGCCAGTGCCTCTCAAATCTCTATGAATAGTTACTCTTTTAGTTCTCTTAGGAGAGACTGTTCTAGGTAACCAGGTGATAATCAGTTGGGACCAAATAAACATCTTCCCTACCTCTACATTTTCCCACATGTTTTATAAAGTTTTAAGTAAAAGGACTTTTCATCTGGGAGGGCCTCAACTGTAAAACAGTTTAGTATGTTCTATGAAATTAATTTAAAGAATAGATCTCAGCATAGGTGACTGGATGAGTGAATGAAAAAATATGTATCATTGTGATGTACAGGGGTCAGAGCAAAATCTTAACTGTTTAGGCTTACAGAAAATCAGAATGCATTTCAACTGTTGTTGGATTTGGCAGGTTTTGCAAAAAGACTATCTAAAAGCAAATGTTTTCCACTAAAAGGCATTTCTCATTCCCTTTGTTTTATCATTTATGTTTTTAAGAACGTACAACTTGATAATGGGAAATTAACACCAAATATTGTAATATCCAGGATCCATCAAAAGTGCCCAAACATCCTCTCCTTCGCAGCTGCTTCCTCTTTGATTCCCACGTTCTCACAGGGGTTTGCGCTAAGGAGGACGCTTTCACTCTGTCTCCCACAACCCCGACGATCTGACCTTCAAGGCATGTGCTGCTTCTGCCACTTCTTCATTCTGCACTATTGTTTGGAAATTTAAAAAGTATAATAGAAAATGTTAAAGAATCCCAGTGTTACCAGAGGCATCGCACGAGCATCTGGCACAACTTGGCATTCCGTGAACAGAAAAGAGCCATGTAACGATCTAAGAGTTAGGATTATAAACGACCCCAAATCACGAATGTTCTTTATGAAAGTTTTCCATTTCCTAATTAAATCGCCAATTACTTTGTGTCAACTTTCCTAATTATACTTTAGTTTACAAATCTTGTTTTGTGAACTGTGACCATTTTGCTAAGGAGGCAAACAATCCGTTCTATTTTGAAGTTTTAAAACAGGTTCTGATAGTTTCTTCAAGCTGAGGACTGGCTGTTCAGAGGGGTTACAGACTGACTTTCCGCCTAAGGCGAGCACCAGTAGCTAGATCTAGGGAGATGGGAATACACCTAGTATTGGACAGTGCATCGCATAGTACATTTTGCAAGGATATAAACCGATAAGTAGTTAAATTGTCTTTGGATGAAGAATTTATTTTTGGTTGGTAAAGTGTTGATATTCTAAAAGCAGTACTAATCTCTCAACAAACAGCCCTGAATATTCCCTACCTGTCAGAAGGTGGAGCTCTAAACATATCTGAAATCCTGGCTTATCGATGTGTGTTTCACAAATGTGTGTAATGAGGAGATTAAAGCTGGAGTAAAAGTCTTTAGGAGAAATGATTCTCTCCGGATAAAATCACCCACATTTTCAAACGTGTACATGGTTAACTATTAAAAAGAGGTTTAGTATGTTCCTTTTAAGTTTCTACATACCGCCTACTAGAAAACCTTAAGTATATAGAACTCAGAGAACAAAAGACAATTTAAAAGGTACAATACTTTTAAAAAATGAGGACCATCTAGCGGAGTGCAGGGAAGGCCAGCCACACTCACAAGCATCTCGGATGTAGAGTAACATGGCAATGAAGACATAATCGACTAAACTCAGGCTGAGCCCGTCGGCAAACAGGGCGTCCCAGACCACCAGGAGATCCTGCAGAGGAAACTCGCGTCCAAACAGCAGTCGCACCCACCGTCTGCAGAGAGACAAGACCAAAATCCAGAAAACAGTCTGGTGAGAGAAATGTTAAGAGTGACCACTTTGCTTACGTACCTGTGAAAATATTGCCACTTAGCCAACTGGGCATGGAGGCTAAGCATTACACATCAATAAACGATAGAGTTAAATCCAGAGTTTTAAGCATTGAACTTAATTTCATAATTCTATAACTAGGGCCCCAATTACTGAAGTTTATTCCTATATGTGCAACACAAGTTCTGTATTAGAAAATGATAGAAAACATTCAGATTTAATATGGCTCATAAATCCGAGACGGGAAAAAGAGAAAGGGAAAGTGTCGTGGTCTGATGGATGTCGCTCTCAAAGTGACCTTACGTGTGAAAAGACAAGTGTCAACATTTCATGGTCTTTCCTGAAGGCACCCCGAGATCTCCTCGGTTGTTGGTAACTGGTCTTTTGCAAATGTTTACATGATAAACTACATACCCAGACTTGGAAAAAAATGGATCCTCATATTTTACTCCTATTTAAGAGATTGGCTTTCTAGTTAAAGGTGGGGTAGTGTAAAAACAGTAGATGTTTTTGTGAAGTATAGTAATTTATGTTCAAATGAAACAGAGTGATACCTGACTTTTAGCTTTAGAATAGCTAATTAGAGAGGTAACCTTTCCAGGGATGCTTTTCCAAATATACTTGACTTCAATGGCCAGGGAAATATCTATTTAATTCCACAAGGCAGACGCAGATAGCGAATGCAACTGCTGAATAAAGTATCCATATAACTGAATGTCTTAAATAGTGCCTTTCGGTAAATGCAACTAATTTGTATCTAATCTTAAAAGATAATTAAAATACTTCCATCTGAAATACTTTTATCTATTTGCTTGTGGCTTTATGTAAAATGGGGAGAATTTCTTTGCATAAACCTCTCTCCCTCAGAACTTTGAGAGAATTTAGAGTGATTCTGGCACACAGCAAAGAAAACATTTCACATTCATAGGATCACCAGAAGACAAGAGACTCTGTAAAAATTAGTTGAGAGATTCTTGATTTTTTTAAACCAAATTTGAAACCAAATACGAGCCACTGATGGGGTTAAAGTAAGACCGAGAGAAAAGAAGAAACAAACGAAATAAAATACTTTCTTTAGGAAGTATTACACTTACAGAGGGATATAGGAAGCTTGCACAGAACACACGCAGGCTTTACATCTGACTCAGAAAAGTGTTCAAATATTTAAGATGATTTTATTCATAGTGTCAGATTAACTTATTATAGAATATTTAGGTTTAATTTTCAACTAGATTTTAGGATATTCAGTTGGTGGGGGGGGGGGCGTTAGTTTGCAATGTCTTGGTAACTTTATCCTTGAGAATTGCTAGAGTATCTCTTGCAATTTTTATGTCCTGTGCAAGTCTTGCTCTCCTCCTCATATGAGGGCCACAAAGAAGGAAATCCACGTTTTCTTCCGAATTCATGCCTGGATTTGCGTGTCTTGGGAAAAAACATGACTTTTGTCCACTTCAAATTCTTTCAAATTAAAGATGCGAGTATTTACATTTTCAGAAGCACAAAAATATTTCTACATTTAGAAAAGGTTGCTCTTCTTAATTACAAAGAGTTCCTTGGTCTTGCAAATAGTGTCCGGGGAGCAACAAACAAAACAAAACAAAACCATTCTGGACTGAGCCACTTGGGCTACCATTTAAAAGGATCCGTAATTGATACATATATCTGCATTCTCAACTGAAACGGAATGTGCGAATTCCCAGTTACTCACCTGGAAGAACGGAAAGAAAAATCGATCAGTGAGTAGAATGCTGGAGAAGGGTATTACATAGGCTCAGGCGTGAATACAGCTCAGATTCCTTTTGCTTTCCTGTGGACAATTACATCTTTGGTTTTATCAAAGGCTTCCAGAAGGTGGGGAACAATTTTTTTTTAGCTGTGTGTGTGCGCGCGTGTGTAAATCACATATGCTTGTGTCCATTTTTTCCATAACACAATGCCTGGTTATTGTTCCAACGTTACTCCTTCTCGTGTCACCTTCTTGCTGACTGAACTGCTGTGAGCCGAGCTTCAAGGCTGGCGCTGTAGATGCGCTCACGCAGCAATCGTTGCTGCAGTGTCGGCAGGAGGGGAACGGCAGACGCCTCATGATCTGCCCTGAAAAAAGATGCAATGGGTCTTCTTCCTGCTTCCTCACTCCCCCGGGGTCATAGATTTAACATCTTCAAAACTGGACAACATATACACCTTGAGCACTTTACAGTTTAATTTATAATCCATGGTGTGTGCTTCATTCTTGACGTTTCACCTGGCCAAGTGCACTGCTAAATCAGCTCAGGAAAAAGACTAGGACTAGACATTCATTCACTCTCTCTGAGAGAGAGATTTAGAGAGAGACTCTCCAGAACATTCTGTGAAAAGAGGTGTATGTGCTTTGCTACATGTACTATGTATTTACCAAAGTATTTTTAAAGAAATTGTAAAGCCGCATGTCATGCTACTGAGAAACAAAGCTGTAGCTATAAATTGCAAGCACATGAATTGTTATTGTTAGTGGTCACTCAAAGATAGTTCATGAAGTGGCAAAAAAACACACATCCAAAAAGCAGAAACACTTAGGAAAAAAAGAGAGAGATGCCTATCATGTTTCTTTCATATAAGACTGTTAATAAGTTCTACAAGCAAGCATGTTACATCAAAGCAAAATATAGTTTCTTCTATGCTATATGCAATCACAGGGAAATTAAGGCCAAATTCTGAGACTGTTTAAGAAGTGCTGTATGACTAATGGAATGCTGAGACCAACAATGCCCTTATCAATAATTTAATCATTTTTATCCCAATTGGATTCAGCTCATACATATATTCACTACAGACAAAATTTCCTGTGCTATTTTGGATTTTCTTTGACAAATAAAAATTTTAAAAAGTAAAAGCTCAGGGAAAATTCAGTCTTTTATGGAATGAGTTACCAAAACACATTCTTTCAGGAAGCATCTGTATTCTTAGAAAGGAAAACTTCCTCGAAGAAGTGAGGTCTTATTTAAACAAAAAGTCACTCCTACAATTAATACGTTTTCACTACAGTTAAAAATATTAAGTGAGAGTTTAAGTTCCCTTTAAGGGTAGCATTAAACCTTTTTTTTCCTCCCTTAAAGATAGCTTCAGTTTAATTGCCAGATACTGCTAATCTTGCTTTATGTAAAGCTACACCTGCAGATTGTATGCTCATAACCATATACATTTTATCACTGGTGATAATATAATAATTCATATTTTACCAGGCCTACTTAGTAATTAAAATCTACACAAACAAAAAAAGACCATCTGAGGCTTTAAATTTAATAATAAACCACCCAACGGCAGGGCAGTTTCGATGTCTGCACTTATACCACTGTTCCCGATTTTAAATTTCTGTGTAATTAAGCTGCTACTCCCAGGGGGTCAGTAACTCCTGATGGTGTTATTGCTTGGTGAATGACATGGAAACACCAAGAGAAATCCATTTTTACCAATCAGTTTATGAAAATGACCAATTTGACTGAGGCTTAAATACACATAGCTTTAGTACAACGTGGCTGTCGTTCGCTATATCTGGAGAAAGAAATTTAAATACTAAGGGTTGCTTTCTTTTTCTCCTTTAATGACTCCGTAGTGACACACGGCCTTAGCAGAACAAGAAGTGTGGAAAGGCTGTATTCAACTGAACAAACAGGACAAGGCATCGGCTTTCCGGATAGCCTTGTGCTACGTGATCTGTGCTCAAGGAGTGACTGCACTGGGCAAGAATACTGCCACACAAAAGAGCTGTCTGTGGGAGCGTTGTGCTCCGCGATAGGAATGTTCTCTCTTGCTTTGCCTTATACTTGTAGTTTTCAGAGCAGTCTTTAAATAATCCATGCCTGACAGAGAAAAAACCAAACACAGACTCTAGCGCTTGTGCCAGTATTACAGGGAAACAAAAGCAAGTACAACGTCACGATCTCTTGGCTGGAAACTCCTTGACAGGGTTTAGGGTCTTCTTCTATCCGGCTCTTTGGAGTGCCCTCCACATGGGCTTTGAAAACCAGCTTAGATTTAGAGCCAGATAGTGCCGCTTTTAGAACGAGGGTCACAAGAGGGTCGCATCTTTAATTCTACCTTCCTTGGAAAAGTAAAGCCACAGAAGAGAGAAGCAAAAGAAAAAAAATTTTTTGTTCCAATTTATTATTCTAAAGGGTCTGACAGGGTACACTATCGGAAGATGGTGAAGCTGTTTAATTTTTATCTGGTCAACTATTTCAGTTAGGCCTTCTTAAACTAATGGTTACCTGCATGCCTTATAGAAATATTTCAATTCTTGAAGGCCATCCAAACTCTGCTTCATATATCGATTAACTGAGTTATGTGTTTACAAGATTCAAATTTGCTTTCCACGCTGTCCCTGTAATCCATGGGTGACGTCCAGCTTGAATGGGGCCTCTGGGAACACAGGGCAAACCTAACTTGACCCCTACAGGCTATGTTCCGGAGCTATTGAGAGTGCTATTTGTGACTTCAGGAGAAAATTCTCTGCTCCTTTGAGAGGGCAGTACATAGCCTTTTATTAAGGAAGGTTTCTTATTCCAAAAATAAGTTCCTAATAATTATCACCCATTCCTACTGTAATTTATTCCCTTTGGCAAGTGTTTGAAGCTGTTTTGTGAGAACTGTAATCCGCCCTTTGCAAAAATAGTCTGAATGGAAAGTAGAGCCTCGTGTAGCTACGCTCTTCCAGAGATGGACAAAGTTCGTAGGGAAATTGGACAGAGAGGTGACAACGTCCTCTAGAAACCATGTAACCCTTGGAACAGCCCCCCCCCCCCCTTTTAGAAGTATGCCTGCTACTTGTTGATTGCGTGCATGCTATTTCAAGGACAGTACTTTCAGGATGTGTGATTCACTAGTAAATTCAAATAATGCTAATGAAAGGTAGAGAGACTCCGAAATAAATTTAGCTGTGAGGGGAGGAGAAAGTGCTTGCTCTGG